TAATATTAGTAGGCAAGCTGGTCTTTGGCAACAAAAAGCAAACAAGTTTTCATTAATATTTCTTCCAAAGCACTTTTAAGGGTCAGTGAATAAACAGGCATAATAAAACAATGCCATACTTCCTCTAGAAATACAGTGGGAGAACAGGGAGAAGGAAGAAGAGAAAGCCAAGTATGGCAAAAGCACTAGAGAAAACTGTATGTTAGTGCTGCTTTCACACAATCAAGTCTCCATTGCCAGTAAAATAGTCATAGATGAACCATTAGACTTACACAATTAGTTTTCTTAAAGAAAATCCTAGTCCCTGTCAAAACATTTTCTTCTTGCTGCTTATAACTTTTAGCAGTACAGACCACTAGCAAGTCTTGCAAATTGTATTACCAAACAGAATTAAGGTCAATGTTGTCACAGGGATTAGGATACCAATTCCTTATGACCACCATGTCAACTGTCCAGCAGCTGTGAAAAGCTCAGTCTTGCATTCTTTTGGGAAGCACTCCAACTCCAACCCTACGCATTTCTGCATACAATTTTTGTCTAGGGCTAAACAATTTCAATATGCCTAGAAGCCTCTAGGTTATGCGTACTTATGCTTCAACATAACATTAGGAAAATGAAGAGAAAGCACAGGAGAAATCCACTAAACTACCCATGAAGTAACACTTACCCTACCACCACACTACTTTGAAAAATAATTGCTAGGAGAGAGGGGAAATCCAGTATGTAAAGCTGAATTGCATGTTATTATCTTCTGAGGTCAAGGCACTGGGTAATGAGCCTCTTCCTGAAGAGAAATCCTGTCATAATCAAAACGCACCCAAAGCCTTGCTAGCTTTTAATGTGTTCACATTTAATCTCTACTACAAGTCCTGCAGAAGCGGCAACACTTATAAGATCCAGCAATCAATGAAGTTTGCTTCTCCTTGCAAAACTTGCCTCAAATCCCTAGTGCATCACAGCTGCACCACCACTGAACTGTTCATCTGCAACACTCAGCCATTAAAAACAATTCTGCACCTCCCTCTTTCTTGTGATAGCTTACACTAATCCAATACATCTCTCTGGAGAGTACTATTCCTTCTCCAAAATGGCAAACTGGGCTTCTTGAACATACTCTGTTTTACTGCTCTTCCCCCCACCTCTTTGTCCTACATGTTTAACAAGCACTGAAATAGATTTTCAGCCCATTCTCTTCCCTACTAAAGGGCACAATAAGAGCTGACCTGTGAAGACTGCAGGGCTGAATGTCCCCCTAAACAGGAAATTCTTCAAAGGGACAAGAACAGAGAAGCAGTTCGATGACTGGCAGTTAGCAATGCTTCCAATACAACCTTTTCCTAACAGAGAGCACACTGTGAAATGTAGTGCTCCACCTATATCACCAGTTTAACAGAATGGAGTATTTCCAGCAACATTTAAAGACATGGAATAACTACTGAGATGAGCATGCGTCAGTTCTGCCAACCAAAAATCCTTTTGCTTTCATAATCTACAAGAGAAATCTCTATTTTGTTGTTTAAGCACAAGTATTGTTTTAAACATGCAAAACTTCAGATTAGCAAAAACTTGATCTCTCATCATTTGTGGTCTGATTTAAAGGCATGAAAGCAGTAAGATACTGAGTAACAGGTTACTCCCTGTACCAGATTACCAGCACAGAAAAAATGCGTTTTAAAAGATAATGTTGTTCAGAGTCACACCTCAGGTCCAGGTATCCTGTTAATCAGTGTAAGCACATCTCACAAACACCTACAAAATTAGTAGTTTATGATTAGCTACAAGGAAAGTAAACATGGATTATACCGAACAGGCCAGAAAAATACAGCCAACCACTTTCATTGACTTAAACTAGTGGTTAAGGTATTTCTATAAAGGTATGGTCATATTATCCAAAGGAATTGCATTCCTATGGTTTCAATTTCAGTTTTGAATCATAATAATTAAACTTTAGATATCAAATATGGGAAACACAGAAGTCATTCATATCAAAAGAAATCTATGAGTATGCTATAACAGCAAAATCATGACTTGCAATAGTACTGGAATAACTAATCTCCTCTACTACTACACTCTACCATCCTGTCTCTACCTCCCAAAGCAACATGTGCACAAACGTGGACATGAACTGCAGAAAAACAGGTTTATAACTATAACTACGTGTTAGTAACTTATCAGCAAAAGCATCCTAGTCAAGGATTATGCTGCAAATAAGTGCTTGCAGAGACTGCCGATGATTTAATCGGAATTGCTGTGATTCAAACAGGTAGTTCATGGTTAGAGACATATTTCTACTAGCTAAAAGTTTGACATACATTCTCTGTTTCTTTAGTTTAAGACTGAAAGTCCAGCAAAACATAAGGTATAGTTAGAAAATTAAGGATACTTTGTGCATTATGTTAAATCTTTGGCTGGCAGGGAAAACGTAGATCTCCCTACCAAATTCTAGGCAAACTCAGTAGTTGACCTTGTGTTGCCACTGATAGCCAGAAAATAAGTTTAATATTGTAATAATCTCCTACTGTTAAGACAAGTAGTATTTGATGTCCTAATGATTAGAAAACCTTAGTTGTTGTAATTGCAGGTTTTATTTACATGAAGACTTAAATTCATTTCCCTGAAGTGCCTGTCTCTCTGCACCAGGTCCCATCTAGAGGCTCTGTAAGCAAAGAGGGACCAGCACTGAGCAGCGTAGTCCCAGATTTCTCCTCCACTTACACCCTTTTGACATATTCATTAGTCATTCTTATCGTGACTGATCACTGCTTCATAAGTCTATGCAAAGCCAGGGTGATTGTATAAAATCACCAATACAAATAGCAGTGAGTTTTCATACTTCAGGCAAGTGTTTTTCCAGAAGTCTGTACGCCACCTTCCTCCTAAAGGAAGCAGTGTCTGTAAACAGTTTCCTGAGTCCATTATAAATTCAGAAGCAGCCCTGTTTTTCCTCTTCCTCTGATCCAACCCAATCAGGCAAGAACAGTTGGTTTAGTAAAATATTTGCCAAGCACAAAACTGTTAATGCCTGTTCTAGAGTTTTTACATATCCTTGGCAATGCAGTTGTGAAGGCAAACCATCAACAGGAAATTCACTGGTTGATTGCAATCGCTTGCTAAAATAAACAGGGAGTAGCTCCATGCAGGTAAAGGGCACTAGAAACACAGATTTAGTTAACCTTGAAGTTATTCCCTAATAAATTGATCCTGTTGCATAGTTTTCATCTATGCCAATCTTTGGCTTTATTCTTTCAAATGAAAAGAATTCAGACTATCAAAATCAAAAAGAAAGCAAGCACAGAAACACACAGAGATTTGATACAAAATGTAAACCTCCATATATCAGTACAGAAACAAGACAAAACTGTAACCAAACATTTACCATCATGTAAAATTTTTTTTTCATTTCATCTTCCAAAAATAGTAAAATTTGTAGACATAGCAAGATCTCCAGAGATATAAATCAGTACTGGCATGGTATGTGAACAAATATATAGAGCACCTGAAGTGTGATAACTGCTGACATTGACTTACTTTATTAGAGGACATTTGTCTCAAGAACTTTTCAAAACTTCTTGAGACAATTTCAAAAGTTATTGAGCTTTTGGAGTGGGAAGCCCTTATCCACAAACTACTTGAGACTGCTAGGAATAAACTCCTTAAAATAATCTTAAAGTTTGCTCTATTCTTCCACACAAACTTTTTGTTAGGGGGTCTGCTGATAGGAGCTATTAGAGGCTGTTGTTCTGGTCAAGAAGCCATTGCTTTTTTTCCATAAAAACACAGCCCCAAATATCCATTGAGAAGCATGACAACTCTTGGTGGCCCCAATTTGCTGCTCTTCCATTGCTTGCCCCTGCATCACCCTGCTCAATGGTGATGGCATAGTTTCTTCTGGGGTGAAAGAGCACTCAGCAATCCAGCAGTCTGTGGTTTATTATTAAGCAGCCCTAAAGACAAAGGCACAACTGAAGAAACAAAGACTTGCAGTGATTTATTTAAAGATGGGAAACGTCTTTTTTAAAAAAGATTTACATTTAAATGGCTGGTTAACCTGGTAGAAGAAGCAGTGTTTTCTTAGTTTGTGTGAACTGGGTCAAATAGCTTTTAACCTACTTCCAGTACACCTATAACACATCTATAGCAGAAAACATAGTAAGTTTTTCAGACCTGCCTCTTCATTACACACACTTTTCTAGATACAACATCCTGGTGTTCCCACTTCAGTAAAACAGCCACCTAAATATCAGCCAATATTGGATAGTATGAGCTGTGTTTCCAACATACTATGTCAGAAGTGCAATTTTACAAGTTCAACAGCATGTGTTATTTCAACACATTTATATAATGTCAGATTCACAGTTTTCATTATTTGTCCAGCACAGCCCTAAAGCCAAAATTTGAAGCATGTGCCCACCTTAAACTTACTCTCTATTCTACTACAGACATGACCTATACCAGTTTGGAGAAAAAAAAAAAAAAAAATTTTTTTTTAAATCTTAAAAGGTTAAGCGTTTCCCTGACCTCTTTTTGAACTGAAACATACTATTGTTTCATTGTCACTTCAGATTATTCGTCAGCTGCCAAAACGCCAACATTTTTATAGAATTAGAGAGACAAGTCATTAACATACTTTAGCTTTCCCTTTTCAATCACAATTTTTCATTCTTACTTCATTCAAAGCCAGTGCACTAACATCTTTTGACATGAATCTTCTCTCTTCTTTTTTTAAGAAAAAAGTGTTTCTACTACAACTTTCAGTGCCACCAGCTGGCACAGTACACTTCCTATTAGTGTTAGTTTGCTTCTATGCCTCAGTAAGTCAGACAAATATGCCGACAGAGGTCAACCTCCAAGTTATTTCTACTCTGAAAGTTTAAGGTTCCAGATAAGAAAGCTTTTTTCCCCCCCTTCAAGTACTAGAAAATATTCTGATCGTGTTGAGTTTTAGGTACATTACAAAGAGTTGTTACTTAACAGTTAGTTGACATTTAACTAATTCTTACCTTGTAGCATGCATCTATATGCAGATTCAGATATTGCATAAATGTGCGGTGGCATTTCATGGCGCTTCTTCCCTCTGTACATCTCGATAATGTTTTCTGAATAGATCGGGAGGTTCTTGTAAGGATTTATAACTACGCAGAACAGCCCTGAATAGGTCTTAAAAAAAGAAACAACATTTCTGTTAGTAAACAGTATTGAAACAGAGCCATAAAGAGCAGAAAAGCTTTTTCACAGGTTCTATACTATTTATTTTAGAACAAAATTGAGGTGCTTTTTCTTGAGCAACTCAAAGTACATGCTATATTCAAATTATTGGTTTCTAGTTCTCTTAAAAGGCTCTTTAATTACCTGCATAAAAAGTAATTTAAAGATAATAAATGGGAGTAAACATGAAGTGAAGCATCTGCTCTCTTTCCCACAGATATTTAAATCTCCCATTTGCCAAGTTACAGGATTTATAGACATCTTTTGATGTTCAACTCCTTCAGCAAAATGCGCATTCAAAGTTATTTTCTCATTTTTGAAGGAACTGATTGTCTCGATTAGTCTAGTAAATAATTTGGAAAAGGAAAAAGCCTATTTCCAACCACCACTATTTCTGCTATCCTACTATTTTTTCATATTTGTATGTCTTTCCTGCCCATCAGCCTCTCAATCCCAAAGCAGTCTCCTCCTGGAGAGGTCATTCCCTCCACTGTCCCACCCCAGCTGATGGATAGCCTGGCAGCTGGCACTGCAGATGCCATTTCATACTCTGCTTTTAAAGTTGATACTGAACAGAAGTTATCAGGACTACTGTAACATCAAGAAACTCAAGAACAAATTTTACATTGCTTATTTCATTGACTTTTATTGAGGCATTTCTGTTTAGTCAAAAAACGCCAGATGTTTTACAAAATTGAGCACACATTGCAAACGATACATACAGGTCCACATTTCCCTGTAAGTGAAATATCAAAGAGTACTTCAGAACAGTTCAATCTCTGTTCCATAGAAGTTATTTATAAGGAAGTTATCATAAAAATATATATGAAAGAAAAATGTATACAGTCAGCCACTGATACTTTGTTATCTGGGAGGGACAGATGAGCATCGTCTGGCTGTATGGGCCTTACTAGTTGTCAAAAGTTAAGCTCACAGACAGGCAGTTTTGCACCATGCAAAAAACAGAGCTAATCCACGGTGTTTCCCTAAACCAAGGCATCCGGATGGCTCTTGCCTTTTCAGAATCAATGTAAAATGATGGGTTTTAAGCAAGCAAAACCTCTCCATTTACCTATATTTCATCACATGCTTTGAAAGTGTGTTCTGTTTGGTCATCAATACTATTCACACCTTTACTAGCACAGGAACATTAGCAAGACACATCAGTTTTGACAGAAACAGGGAGTATCTTTCTGAATGTCAGGAAAGCTGTGGTTTTTACCTTTGCAGGCTGAGAGAAGACAAGGGACAGAGACACTAAGACAGCATTAACAGCTGTTAAGAGCCTGTAGTATTAAGCAGGTAGCTCATTATTCTTACAACATTTGTAGATTTAAAAAATATTTCTGCTACATTTGTACGAACAGAGTAGCTGAAATTCCTGATCTGCCTTTTTTTTTTTTTAAATATATAAAAGACTTTATATGGAGGAAAAGGTGCCCTATTCTTTCTACACCCCCAAGGGATTCTAGAAAGACAGACCAAAGGTGATCTCTGAATTGAGTCAGAAGCACCATTGGTAAAGAAAAAGAACTTGGTTTTATGCCAGATGTTCTGACATAAAGACATCTTATGTCTTTATGGGACGATAATCTCTCTGCTTTGGTCAGATCTGCTGGGTGATAAGTACTGAAGTGCCTTACCTAGCCAAACGTCTTTGGTAATAAGGTATTTATTTCTCAAGAGAAAGGAAACAGATGTTATCACATCAACTGACCCAAGCATAAAGAACAACTTATCAGTCATTAACTCAACATAAGCATGGGTCTGTTGGCAAGTGGGCAGTTCCTCCCCAGCTTCATGTTCCTACCACTGTCCCTCTTGCCAGCATCAGCACCCTTGCAGTAACTTACCGAGCTGGATACTACTGAAGATAAATTTCAAAGAGAATTGGTTGGTAATAGAATCAGTTCCCTGATCAAACTCATTCATGGCCACTAGTGATACTTTAGGGGAGAGGGAAGGCAAGACAGTTATTTTAATAGCATGGTACAACTGACCAAGGACCCAATTAATTGATAAATACTGGATCTACCTTCCTAGCCAGCCAGTTCCCTGTTGTACTCAACTGAGGTCATCCACATTCATCTATAATTACTACAGATGACAAGAAGGCATCGAGAATTACCATAAGCCTGATTTCCATTCTAGTCTTCAAATAAAGACAACTAGAAGGAAGGCACACCTTCACCCAAGCCCATCATATGATCACCAGCTCAAAAATCACCAAACAGCACCTACACTGTGTTTTTCTACTACAGCCACATCTAATGAAAAAAAGACTTGTTTATTGCTGACTGCAAATGGGATCCGGTCACGAGCAAAAGAATTCACACAGCCAAAGTCCATTTCCTGATCTGTCCCAACACACCCTCGGACCAGTGTAATGGCATGAACATTTACTTAAGCCAGCAGACCTCTTTCCTCCAGGATGATTCTGGACTCTTATCCAGCAGGAGTTCTGAGCCCAGGTCTGTTTTTCACCCACCCAGCTTCAGAGACTTGCAATTTACCTCCATGGGCTGCTGTTCTGTATCTTACTGTGGATGGGAACTCTCAAAACAGTGACTGATAGTTAAGCTGTAAGGGTACTGCTGTATATACTAGCTATATTACAGTCATCCTCTTTCAAGAGCAATACCTCTATTTCTCTGCAAATTAATCTAAAACTTTTATCAGTTGTTTTGGTACTTTTATGTTCACAAAGGAAAGTAGTTGGGTTTTCCCCAGTATCACTGCCCTTCCCCAGACATGAATAAACTGAACTGGTAAGTTAAAAGAAAAAATAAAAATTAAGTGCTAGGGTAAGAACAGCTATTTGAAGATTATCCTTCCCTCCTCCCCCGAGTTGCTTTGGCATCTTTTGTTTATTTCCCCAACACAGACATGTAGTAAGTGTTATTACTGTTTAGCTACATAAAGAATTAATAATTTATAAAACCAAACTTAACAATCCTTCAGACCTCTATTGATGATAGTCTAGAAAGGCTTCTAGGTTAGGTATCTCCCAATGAAGTAATTGGATGGATCAGTGAACCTGGAATGATCAGAATAAGCAAAGTCCAGCTAGATGCCAACATAACTCAGCCAATCTAGAGGGAGACCAGCAAATGTCATGGGCAAATGAAAAGGGTTAATTTAAGAAGCTCTATATTGAACAAGGCCAAATTAGAAAAATTAGAAGTTAGGAAGCACAAAATTCTACTGTTTCACCAGTGCTGGGGTTCATTTATTTGAAACTAAACCTAAAGGATAGGCTTTTATCCCTGACCATTAAGTCTGTGTCACAACATAGCTCTTCACATGCAGCACCTTGAACTCCAACATCTTGATTTCCTGCACATTTGTCACTCTGTTCACTCTCCTGCTGTTTTCCTGCAGAATTTAAAAATCACACTGTCTTCAAAACATCACCACACTGTACAGCCTTAATTTATTCAAAGGAAGATGGAACCGAGTTCTCCCACAATGCTCCCAAGTTTCATGACCATCATCTATTGCAGAAAGCAACATATGAACACATTGGTGGGTTCTTTTTGTGGCTTGTTAAGCATATAAACACAGAAGGGATGCTTTTATTGAGTCAAATTTAATTGGGAGGGAAGTAAACGGTACAAAAGTTTTATACAGCTATTTTATAACTGCAAGTATCACCATACAAGTATATTACTCTAAGACAGCAGATTGGAGGTATGGGCTTTCTGCATGCAAATTGAAGACATGAACAGTAGGCTGAGATTGTTTACACACCTTGAAAAGCTTCTTGGTGACCAGCCATAGAAAGAATTAACAGTAATACTTGCACACCTGCCTTACAAACGGACACCCTACTTAATGAATACCACCATGTAGCTGTTAAAGATGCCCAGAGCTTTCAGACATGCCACAGGGGCAGAGTGATGTCCTCTGCCTCCTCTCTGTTCTGCAGTACTTGGACTCTGCCAAAACTGTCATATCTGAATTATGTTAGGATCAAGCACTGAAGAGCTACAGTAACTAGCCAGTCTGGATGAAGAACCAGACTTCAATAATTTTTCAGCTGACAGAGGCAGATATGTATATTAAGAACTTAAAGGCAAATAAAGATGCTTATTCACCTTGAGATCATGGGATCAGCTGCAAACAAGCTAGTTGCTTGAAACACACACATTTCTGCTTTACCCAGGAACAGGATATAGACAATATCAACCAACAGCTATAAGGCCGGTTGGAATGTACACTCTCTAGGCAAGGTTCCAGAGACAAACAGTAAAGCAGTGCTCTGACAGAGGCTTCTTATACAAACTCTCCTTCAGGACACTAATTGTGGAGTTTGAATGTTTCCAGATGCTTACAAGCCTTTATCCAGTAGTATATCATTTAGTAATTTGGATTTCAGTAAGCTATCCCAGACTGCGGAGTTCAGGTTCCTGGCGCTGGCCTATTTGAAGACTACATTATATTCCTAGCAGTAAGCAACCTGAGAAAGAGGTATATGTAAGTGAACTACTGGCAAATAGAGAGTGCATTATTTCCAGGTGAAAGCACATGGGAATTTAGGCTCTAAATTTGGAGTGCGGGCTCCAAAGCAAGAAAGGTTTTCATGGCCTGTCTTCCCTTAAAACTATATGAAACCTCCATCGTGTATACACATATAGTGGTATTAGTGTCAAAAGCCTTGTACAATTCCTTAGATTAATAGCTCAGCTTTACAGTTTTTGCATCAAGGAATATGCTGTTACAACTGTTCGGTTCATTCCTCCTGCCACAACATCAAAAGGCCTTTTCAAAACATCACTTCAGAGTGCATTAGCAAGATGCAGGTAAGTTTTTTGGATTTGTAACAATCAGTTTGCATCACCTGAGTATCCAGGCTCAACATTTATCTCCAGTTCTTCAAATATAGAGAGTGACAGATTTACTCTATTACTACATAAATAATTAAGCTGAAGTAAGCATCTAGACATCTCCTA